ATTTCTGATTAAGAAATATAAAAAATATTGTTCGGATGATCTTAATTTTTTTCGATAGAACATATCACATTACTCATTGTTTTCAATAGTTTCATCATATTTATTGAGTCATTGTAAGGCGATTTTACTAATTTTATTTATTCATTTATTTATTTATTTATTCAACGCCCAAGGCAATAATGCAATATAATTACATTTTAAAGTGTACAAATTATAAACTATAATTAAACATTTAATAAACTATAAATTACTATTCAAGACAGTCATTTTGACAAGGATAATTTTTCTGGCTTGATTTTTTATATTTGTCACCGACAGACCAAAGAACACGTGAAACAAATTTGGTTTTAACTGTAGGTATTTCTAAAGTTCTGTTATTACGTAACTTAACGTTTGGTACGACAACTTTGAAGCGTTCAAGAAGTTCAGGCACATCTAAAGCGCCTTTCACAATATTTGCTCCATAGCAGAAGGTGAGGTATCATCTTCTAGCATCGAGTGGCGTAATGCTGAGATGGTTGTATATTTGGGATCGACTTATCTGAATATTGTTCTTGTATTTGCGGAATCGTACATAATTGACAAATTTTTTCTTGACAGATTTAATTCTATCAATTTGGTATTAGTAAATCGGGTCCCAAATTATACACCCATACTCTAATATTGGCCTAACTAAGGTATCAAATAGTACACTAAGGGTAGCATCGTTTTGAAAATCTCCACCTTTTCTAAGCAGATCACCGAGTATATACTATTTGCCCTTGACACAATATTGTTAAAGTGACCATCGAATGCTAGCTTTCTATCTATATATACTCCCAAATCACGGATACCATCCCATCCATCTGCGGAAGTTCTTCTTCTGCAATGTGAAGTATCGATGACTAGAGTAGCTTTCACTGCCGCGACAAAATTTAATAACTGCGCATTTACAGTTTAAATTTATTTATTTCACACCATCTAGATAATCGATTTAAGTCTTCCTGGAGCGCACACAAATCACCTTCGTTCCTTATGCCTCTGTATATTTTACGGCCATCTGCAAATAAAGAAAACTCAGACGAGAAGCCATTGCCAATGTTATTCACAAATAGCAATGGTCCAAGATGAGATCCTTGCGGCACTCCTGAAGAGACCGTAAATTCATCTGATATGGAGTCAATTATTTTTACGCATAGCCCTCTACCTCTCAAAAAGGATTCAAACTAATTATATAACCGGCCAGAAATCCCATATTTATTTATTAAGCTTCATCAAGAGCACATCATGATTAACCAAATCGAATGACTTTACTAAAGTCAGTGTGTATATAGCGTGTGTTTCCATTCTGTTCTCAATTGGATGCATTATATATTCTACATGTCATGAGATTGGTAGTATTAATAAAGTTCGATTTTCATAGAGTTTGCTATATTTCTTATCCGAGCGAATCTGTGTTATAGAAGTTACCGTGTTATGCGGGGTTTACCTGTATATAAAATCAAGAAATTTTCATGAAGTTTTATACAATTTTAGTTTAATCAAAAAAACAACTAAAAGTAAATATTTTTACAGAATGCCATATGCATATTTATACTTTATTCGGCTCTCGTACATTGTCTTATAATTTAATCTGAAGTGTACATTTGACGCAAATATATTTATTGCATCGTAACTTTCACAAAAAAATTTTGAGATTTTGAATATGCATAGCCGAGTTAAAAACAATTCTAAAACAAAAATTTGTGCCTAAAAATGCTTTTACTCGTCGTCTGGTCTGCCACATTTTCACCAAATAATTTACTCTAACAAAATCTAATAGTTTTCGGTACATCTTTGCTCCTTTCGCCATGAGAGTAATGAAATTTAATTTACACAAATTTCTTCTAAATCTGTGAATGATCATCATAAATCTTCAATTTTAGTAGATCGAACAACCTCTAATTGAAGCGAATTTAACAATCTCTTCTTTTGTCATTCGCCGTCTAACGGATAAACATTGGTACGGAACCCATAGGAATGTAAACAAAATTTATACTTATTGTTAAAATCTCTATAAAATATCTGATAATTTGATGTGCATATGTCTAATGATCATTTTTGTCCGCCAAATGGCATTTTTTTACTTTTTTTGTTAGAGATCCGAAACCGCTAGACCTGCCTTTATGAAAATTTGATCAAATCTTCATCTTGTCAATAAAAGTAAAATGTTTTTTGTTCTCTTAAAAACTAATCAGCAATCTCTCCTTATCAATACGAATGGAATGTTTTTTGAATTATTCAAATCGGTTGATCGGTGTTCCCGAAATCTTCGACGAAAATTTGTATCCGCACACACACACACACACACACATACACATACATCCATTTTTTCTAAGGTATGCCAAAATATTCAGAAACCTTTGAAACGTAAAGATATATAAAAATTTTCATTTTCGATTTTTTTTGCGATTACTATAACTTGCCCTATGGTAAGTTAACAAGTTTGGTTAAATTTATTCTTTGTACAGATTTCTATATATATCAACATTATTTTAGCATTTATTTATATAGGTTAAAACTATATACTATGTCTGAATGTATTCTACTATACTATATAACCGACGCACCTAAAATAATCAAATATTTAACATAATGTCAAAACAATTGAAATACATAGGTTACGAATCATTCGCCAAGCGTTTTTTGTATCAGGCTTTACATGGCAGACCTGCTAATAATTTCCATTTCGTTTTGTTCATATGTACCAGTAATTTGTCTTCAATTTATTTTCATAATAAAAGATTGTGTTTTGTAAGTGTAGTACCGCAAAACAAGATTCTTGTTTCTTATCGTACTTTCATGTTAATTAACTTCTTACAATTGTTCTAAAAAGAGAATCAAAATTCTTTAAATGTTTTTTGTTTCTGTTTCTTTCTTCAAATGTTTTAATTCACGATTTCGGTATGTAATGATCTACATTCTTATAAGAATCATAAAAATACATTTGGCATGATCTTTATAACAGTCATTGTTCTTGTAGTTTAGCTGTTATTCGGCGCATCGCCATTATTTATTTGGTTCAAGCCATATAAGAATGATAAAAATTGAAATATTATTTTTTATATAAGATTTGTACATTGTATTCCATGTATGTTTCATTTTTTGTCGATTTTTTCATATCCAATGCGAAAAAATGTTAATGCAATGCTACGAACGAGTGCCGCCATACTCGCGACATTGTAAATATTCTAAAATAATCGTATGTGATATCTGTATGTATTTTGTCGCCGGAGCGGGTTAAAATTATGTAACTTTTCTTACTTTGGAAATAAAGCACTTAGTTTTTTAAAAATCCATCGACTGGGCATAGTTTTAGGTAATGCGCACACGTTCGTATATGGTTAATATAAAAATTCATTTCTAATATAAAATGTTAACTTTAAATTCATTTTAGTACATTATATATTTTTTCTTATCGAACATGCGAACGTTCAAGTGTAGAGTTATTTTATTAATTAAATACCTAGATTGCAAATACTATTAAATGAACCACATAATTTATATTCTTAAACTTTTAGGCAAATTATATAAAGACAGTTTTTTTTAAAATAATTTAGCGTTTATAAGTATGACTGATTTAAGTGTCCGCAAAATAAAACTCGTACGCGGTAATTGAGGTGATAAATAGTTGCAGATTTATTCAAATCAGCTCAGATTTTTATTAATATAAACTTCTAGAAATTTAGAATCTGAAACGGGGGTTAATGAATGATTTTGAATGTGATTGTTCAATGAAATATCCTTCGTTACACACCTCGTACAATGGTATTTTGTTAATGTTGCCTCAAATTGTCCTACTTTGTATATTTTTTTTATTAGAAATTCAAAGTTAATTAAGCTAGAAAGCTAATGAAATAAATAACAATAAAATTTTAATGATGGCATGGTTATAGTTTGGGAACACACTTTCCAAAGCTTTTTTTTTACTTTTGTCGATTAATATTTATTTATTAAACCTTGCTTCATGAGCAATTTGTTTTAATTTAAAAAATGTTTGTTTTCGTGTATAATTGGTTTTATTCGAATTCGATAATATGATACTTGTATTTTGACTTACAATTAGAATTATAATTTGGATACTTTAAAAATGAAATATATTAAGCTGTGTTTTATCTCATATTATGTTAACAAAAGTGATCACAAGAAATATAAATTTCGAAATAATGTTCGAAACTATTTTAAAAAGCCAACAAGTTCTGTTATTTTTGACAGCCACATACATTTACGCTGTTAAAATATTTTTGCATACGCTGGTAACGCGGTGGACAAGATAATCTGTATTTTTTTCATTTGACACGCGAGCAGGAATACGAATTAATTCGTTTAACTCAAAGGAGAAACATAGGAGTAGTTAAAAATACAGCTTTTGAAGATTCATTTGAAATATAATCGATATTTTGTACATCGTTGAAATATCGCTCCTTCTGTTTCATTGAATTATTTTTGTGATTCTATACACTCGCGTAATCATCTCGCGTCTGATACAAAATTGCTTTTTATAAAATTTACTGAGATTTTTATGTTTTCAACTTATTTATTTAGTAACACTAATACGTTAATTACGTTAAGAGATTTGCTTGCATTGGTACTATTATATGACATAATATTATGCTATAATACTATTATACTAAATATTACGCTAATACTATCGAATTATGCTAAAATTAACTAAAGATCGGAAGTTTCGTAAACACTGTCTTTTCGTAGGTAATTTTTATGTACAAAATAAAATGTATGAGATTTTTTATATTATATTTAAAAAAAAGTCACTCCAAAGCATAGATACCAAAACTGTTTTCTGACGTGGGCCCCTTGTGCTGTGTCATCGATATTGTAGCTACATAATTTACTTAACTTTGCATGTTTTTTGGGGCTGTTTTTAGGGGCTGTTTTTACTTATTAAATAAAGTAAATTCGGTTTCCAATCTGACCATATTTACATTTTTTTTATTAAATGCTTCATAATTTCATGATTTCAGGAGGTTGGGAGCATTATAGGCAAAAAAGGAGAAATTGTTAATAGATTTCGCGAAGAAGTAAGTATTATTTTTATATAATTTTATAATGAAATACATTTACTATTTTAAATAATATTACTATTTAAAATATGCACTAAAAATATTTTCAGTCTGGTGCCAAAATCAACATATCCGACGCCTCCTGTCCAGAACGCATTGTAACTGTTACGGGACCAACTAGCTCTATTTTCAAAGCTTTTACACTAATTACTAAGAAGTTCGAAGAGGTTCGTATTATATATGTATATATATATATATATATATATATATATATATATATATATGTGTGTGTGTATTGTATGGTTCTGAATTTGATGTTGACATATGTATTAACAAAGTCTAGTAATCGGGCATAACATCAATAAAAACATGAATTTCTTTCAAAAATTTATTTTAAATCCATACGTTTCGGCTTCGGTTCGGTTCGGTTATATCTTTAACCAGTTTACGAATAACACACTATCCATTTGTGATTTTTTAAAATTAGTATTTTGTGAAAATATTGTGTAATTTCAAGTTAATGTTTATAATACATAGTGTAGTGCATTACCATATCCTGATACCATGGATTATTAAATTTTTTTTGGTGTATATGAATATTGCGAACATCCACAAAAATTTCGTGAAAATTTCTTTGGTTTAAGGTGTAATAACTGATGCAGGTGATTACTTTGATAACAGTTTATTATTGTATATAAGGTTTATCTATCAGTCATTATCAGTATATCTTCACTAGAACATGTTATTTTATATGATGTCTGGAATAAATCATGTAGTCATATGCATATTTATGTCCTTTGGCATTGTCAAAGAAATTGTATGTCCAATTGTTTCATAGCGTATGAATTTACTCATGATATATAATATTTCTATAAAAACATTTTAATTTTTAGTTTTCTTTTATTTTAGTGGTGCGCACAATTTGCTGATGTGGGTAGCAGTGTTGGAGGCAATAACTCACGCCCTCCAATTACTATACGTTTAATAGTACCTGCCAGTCAGTGTGGTTCGTTGATTGGCAAAGGGGGTTCGAAAATTAAAGAAATACGAGAAGTGACAGGTGCCAGCATACAAGTCGCTTCCGAAATGTTACCAAATTCTACTGAACGCGCTGTAACACTCAGCGGAACATCCGAATCCATAACACAATGCATATATCACATATGTTGTGTTATGCTGGAGGTTAGTAAAAAGGTGTGCGTCTCTTCTTTGAATTATATTATTATAAATTATTTATAAAATATGGATTCAATGTGTTAAATGCTGGAAATTGGAATGTTAATTCTGGAAATTGAAATGTTAATTCTGGAAATGGAAATGTTAAATGCTGAAAATTCAATGTTAAATGTGGAAATTGAAATGAGCTATTTATTCTTTCAATGATTCATTTAAGTTAAAATTAACCATAAATTTTTGCATAGCAATATTAATTTTGAGGTTTATTTCTTTGTAATATGTGACATTAACTTCTTAACTTACGGTTTACATTCGAAAATGTTGGGCCAAAGTTGTACAAGGTGACGCAGCATTCGTGACTATTTTCCCACACAAAGTACAGTGTTTATCACAAAAATAAAAATAATTTTGTATTTTACAGTTTCGCATGAATAAATATTTTGTAATACTTGCGATCACCGTACCGAGCCATGCCCGTAATGCGTAATAATTGTTTTTGGCCCGATTATAGTACGCGGGCTATGCCCGTAATTAATATATACGTTTGGCCTAGCCATCATACACGGGCTATGCTTGTCATTGTAAGTTAAGGTGTTAAAAATATGTCTGATTATGAGCTTCGAGATACGTGAACAAAAATCATAGTTGACAGTGAATACATTGAATTCAGTTTTTATAGCTCGATAATATAAAATTCAAAAGATTCTAACACTACTAAGATAGCTATTAATATTTGACATTAATTGTATTTTTATTTAAATTTATAATGAATAAACATTCTTTCTTGCCGATTTAAATTAAATTGATCACATTAGTCATATTATAATATTTTTATTTGTTAATATGTGTAGAAAGTTTTTTCACATTTTGTACATACGTGTATATATATATATATATATATATATATAATATGTTTGTTTTATTTATACATTTATCCTAAGCACAATAACAAAGAAATTGTTGTTAATAATTTGTTTCAGTCACCTCCAAAAGGAGCTACGATACCTTACAGGCCAAAGCCACAATTTGGTGGACCAGTCATATTAGCGGGTGGACAAGCTTACACAATACAGGGAAACTATGCCGTACCTGCACAAGAGGTAATATTATACGTATATGTGCCACGTACATAATTCATATTGTATTACTATTATCAAACTCAATTTCATTTCTATACGTATTCATCTATCGTAAACGTAGTTGTTATGGTGCTTGTAATTTTACTAAAGGCACCTTCTTGAGGCTTCTTTATTATTCTTTCTTAACTAATGTTACGAAATAATGCTAATTCCCCTCATTTAAAGAAATAATATATTAGGTTGTCAAATATCTCCCTTCCGCTTTTTTGCTCTTGGTTTATAATACAAAAAGGCGGAAGGGAGATATTTGACAACCTTATATTAACTGAAAGTTATCAAATTCATTTTTTAAATCAAACTCTCAATATATATGAAAGAAAGATTTAATTAAAATCACTTACTAGTTTGAAATAAGTAGATTACTGGAGCTGATTCAAGTAAATAAAATATAGATAAATAATTTATTCCGAAATCTTGATTTGATTGTAAACAATTAGTTTACCAATTTATAGATAGATATTTATTTTAGTAAAACTTTATTGAATATTTCGGTTAAAAAATCTTAAATCTCGTTTGATAAACTTAAAGATTTTATAATAACCAATGAGTAGGTTATATTTGGATATGACGAATTAATAATTGCTATTTTTTCAAGTTTCAAAATCAAATATATTGCGACATATTTGTAAAATAATTTATAAAGTTAACATATTTTTCGGATTTGAGCGTACGATTATTAAAGAATGATATGATTACAGTTGGTATTTACCTCTGATTATACTTAGTCAAAATCATTACGAAAAGGTATTATTACCAAAATGTATCTTCAGATAAGTGTGGTGTTGCATAATACCCTTATTTGTCCAAGATTCTTTTGATGTCGGTCTCATACCCGTCGAGATTATTTGATTGTTTAATTGTCTGCCTGTCTGGAATAACGGAGAAATATCGTTCATTTGGCTTATGGGATATTTAAATGCATCTTATATTAAATTATTTGAATTTGAAACTACTTGTGCTTTAATAATGAACAATATTAATCAGTGGTGAATGAATGCAAATATCATGAACTAGATACAGAAGAAGACATTTAGCAATCAAATAATCACCACGTATGAGATTTTGACATGAGTTTATTAGCCGATTTAGAAAAATGTATTATGGTTACGCAGCATTGTCCGTTGCTACCATTGGTATTATCCGGAGGCGTTCCGACAGCAGATTCCATGCTGAAGAGTTCTCATCTGCAGGCTGCTTGCGTACAGCATCCGCAATTGCAAGCTTTTCCAGGCGATGTGAGTTAATAGTTTGGTGCTGCCTTTGAGAACACCCCAAAAATAAAAACAATCCAATTTAAATATACCAACTTTTGTCTCGAATCACTACCCTGCAAGTTGACATTAATATGAATGCAGATATATCAACGACAGATTATAGGCTAAATTGATACAAAATTGAAATAAAAATATTAAAAGAGCAACGTATATATTAATTATCGAAACATTGTCACTAAGCTACATTTAAGAACTTTAGAATATTTATACTCACACCATTTCAGTAATATATACGTAGTAATTAGTTTAATTAGCGACAATTTATTAACAATTTGCATTTTCATCAATTTAGCTTACAAGTCGTCCATATTTATGATCCTTCGCCTCTACTTACGTCTGTGTTGTGGTTGTCTGTTTGATATTTGTTGTATATAAACGATGGAGATTTATGGTAAATATTGTCGTGTGACAAAAAGCATGCACCAATTCAATTCAAGGTATATTATTCTCATCGATGATTTCAGAACCAATAATATCCTCTGTACACTTTTGAAAATACACAAGTTACGTGAATGTCATTCTTCCTATAACACGCTATACGAAACTCGTGTTTATCGTGCAAACCGTAATTCGTGGCGCAATTAAACGCGCAAAGAATTAGCTGTCTATCGCGCGGTAAAAATCTCAGGATTTGAAGTGTTCATATAAACATAACAAAACTGTTTAAATTATTTTTATTGAATTGTAGCGTTTATATATATAGAGATATGATAAATAAATAAAACAAAAGCTTTTTTAGAAATACTAACATTCTGTGAAGAAGCTCTGACACTACTATAACCGTTGTCGTACACAGCTACGATATAAATTAGCATATTTATACAAACATAATAGTAGATAATAAATCTTATATTAAAACTTTTGAAACATCTAGTTGCTAAAGCCATTTATAGGTAACACGTTGAACGAAACCAAGCTATAGGATTATCGCGTAGTAGGAGGGCTGTTACAATTTTATACCGCACAGTATGGAATCCGCGTTTACACAGTACACAGATTAGTTGGCTGTGTACGTCATATTTTTAATTCCGACATAAAATTTAAATAACTGAAGAAGGTAAAAGATCATGGTTTTATATAATTAACTTTCGATTTACATCGACCGACATTCCTTGAAATAGTCAGTCAAGTAAGAGCGTGGCCGACTTTAACGACAGTTAATGAAAGATTTTGGTCTAATTCTTTTGTGAGCCGATAAAGTGAAGCTTTGTCCTTGATGCATTGTCAACGAAGGTTTAGTTGGCCTTGATCTTTTGAGAAAAATCACGTTAAACGCCATGAGTGCTAAGTTACGCGTCGCGCTACAAGGATGCGCCCTTTTGCATCCACCCAAAATGTCCTCAATAGTCGCAATCAGCTGCTGCTAATCATATGAGAAAGTTGAAGGCATTTGTACAGAATTCAATACATCTATGTAAAGTTGCTAAAAATGTCGATTATTTATTGGAACGTGATTCAAATAAAAAAGAAGAAAAAAGAACAGTGAATGTGTTTTTTCGGAATTCTGCTTTAACACTGCAACAAGGACGAGCAAATTAATGGCAAAATGTTTAAAAATATCTACAAAACTATCTGAGTCTTTCTTCGTATTCATGATCTGAAATGACGCAACACAATGGGGAGGGAAGCCTCTGACGACTGAAAAACATGTGCTTCTTTTCCGCTTGGGCACATGAAAATATTGATAGAGATTTTGAAAATGTCATTTTTACTGATGAAAGTTCTGTATGAGCACGTACTGCCCTCATCGAGCCATTAAATTAAAATACGAGCCGTCAGACTAAAATAATCCGTTGAATTAGTAAAAAGCAGGCGTCGGAGATGCCAGCCAATTGTCGACTTTGGTGGTGACTGGACACATATTGACCAAATTGCATCATTGCTTGTAACGTATACAATGCATATATAACTATCAAAGTTTCATAAAATAATTATTTTTATAAATTAACACGGCCACTCTCTTACTTGACCGACTGTAAACTAAATTATGCATCTGATTACTAATATAGCCTTTAAAAATTATATATATTCATAGTGTATCTGAATTTTTTTACATCTATGTTGGTATAGTAATATGATTGGGTAATAAATTTGAAGTTCTTTTTCTTAAATTTCTGAAAACTTTCCGCGAATTATTTTGTAATCGTTGCAGAGATATTATTCTCGTACATTTGTGGCTTAAGTTGAGCTGTATTTTTTTGTATTATGATTTGTTTTCGTATTATATTTACTATACATATATTGTTCGACTCCACCGGTTTCTAAAATGTAAGCTATTTGCTGATTCCTAATCAACTTGCATTGATTAGTAGTTTTCTTTGACAATTAGTTGATCCTTTTTAAAGTATGTTAAAAAAGGAGCTCAAATGCTTCCAAATTGATAAACAATATTCTCTGAAAGTTTTAGCTCTTAATATTAACTTTATGATAGTCCGCACTCCAAGCAAAGTTTCTTCTTCTTAAGTAAATACTTATTTTATAAAATATATCATTGTTGTATTTTTTTTGTATTTATGATCAAAATAAGCAAATACAATTTTATTATCAAAAGCTAAGTTATAAAATTCTGCAGAACAAATGGAATTTGACGCATGTTATTTCCATAAGATACTTTTGTTGAAGTGCGGACATCTTAAAGTTAATATTAAGATCTAAAACTCCGACACTTTTTTTTATCAATAGAGAAGCATTCGAGTTCCTGGGAGTAAAGAAACTCGAAAATATCCCTAGTAAAAACCATATTATATATATATATATATATATATATATATATATATATATATATATATATATATAAGAAATGCATTAAATTTTGAATAAAAAAATAGCCTTTACTTATTCAAAACTACTTGAAACTAGAAAAGTGGCATACGGTGAGTTTGTTTAGAAGTCGCAAACCCTAGTACCTGTACCCACGTCTACAATTTAAAGGTTCCAAATTTTATAAATATTTCATACTAATATTGTCCGCTTAGTTAAAAATAGTAATTATTGTTTTTTAAACTACTATTTACACCGTAGTGTATATACATCAATATAAGTGGTGTTAAATGTAGAGCTGCTTTAAATAAAATGATGAGACCCAATTTCCACACTTAACTCTTTCATTGTACTGTAAAATCCAAATCAGCCACATAAACCATGCAAGATATATCGAACAAATATCGAAATATGTTCATTAAAATTGTACATTAAAATTATGTCAAATCCTGTTCATATGTGCACTATTCTACGATTCACTACATAACTAGATATTTTATATCCAATGCCAAACAAATTTTTAACGCAATGAAAATTCTAAATATATTTTTTTTGTATTGAAGTAATTTAGTAAGGTAAGGCAAAATACGACATTTATAAGTTAAAAAAAATCTGTCAAACTGAATTATATAATTTAATCTGCCAAAGATCTACTGCATCTTGCATTATTTTAATTTCTCTCACATCTCAACTGCTTTTCGGCAAGAATAATGTAGACTACGTTTTCTTATTCATAATCATGAATATATTATATTCTAATATTGTCTAACAAGCATAATTTAACCTAAATTCAAATTTCAATTGAATTGACATTTCTGGAGGGGGACAGTACTTATTTGTCAAACTATTTTCAAGGTCATGTTGTTTTTTTTTTGTATATATAATGTTTATATATGTATATATAAAGCACATTCCTCCTATTTTTCTTTTGTTACTTTTTGTAGCTCTATGGCCACTGAAGAAGAGTCAAATTGGGACTCGACACGTATTGACCATTAAATTCACTTTAAAAAACAAAATATAGTTTTCTTTATCTTTATTATTTGGACGCATATATATATATATATATATATATATATATATATATATATTATATATATATATATAATAAGTTTTAAGAGAATTTAGTGTATATATATATATATATATACACTAAATTCTCTTAAAACTTTTATTAATTCTTTTTTCGTCGTTTTTATCATTGTGTTTTCTTTCATATTACTTACTAATAAAAATTAAGAGATGAAATATGTATTATTCTAAAATGAGAATGCATGTAATTTAGTACTGGCATGAGAATACTGACACCTAAATTTGACTTTAAATTTTAACAGGCAGCACCATTCCATTAACGTTTACAGATAATTAAGCATTCAAAATTTTTAATATCAACATAAATATCGAGACTACTTACTAATAGTTAAAAATATTATTTTGAACAGCCTTAATAAGTTTTGTTATAACCATAGGATCTAACTAAATTTTCAGTTGATTTTCGTTTTTGTTACCCTATAACTATTGTTTTAGTTCTTATTTCGTACATTGCTCGGTACCTTTTAGAAAACTTAACCTACTTTGTTACCCTTTTGTATTTCGCAATTTAGACTTGGTTGTTTAGGTTAGATGTTTTTAATGTTTATAGTTTAGACTGTATTTACAAGATCGTTAATTGACATTTTATATGATGTTTTAAAGAAATATTTTTTGTGGCTAGAGAGGCTAATTTTGAATTAAAAAAAAACTTATTTTGTTTCATATAATGAATTAAACATACGCTTATGTTAATTTATTTTGTTTATAAATGTTTTTGTCTTACAATTAATATCTCTTATAGATGGGAGCGATCGCAAAAAATCCATTAGCGGGTTTAGCTGCGTTGGGTCTTGGCGGTATGGCTCCAGCAAATACGGGCGGTTTAAATCCAGCAGGTTAGTCTGTTTTAATTATTACTTTTATTTTGTTTTAGATTATTTTTGTTATTGTAATCTTTTGTTTACAGTTATATCAATATTGGCAACTTTTCTATAAAAACTAAAAAATATCCGACATTATGAATTATTGTGTTTGTCATGTGCATAATTTATTTTATACCCGTTATTTCAATTTTATGTATCGCATTTATTGCATATTTCCACTTCTTCGCACAGATGGTTATTTCAAATCAAATACATAATTAAACAAAAATCTAATTTATGCTAAATAAACACAAAATAATATATTATATATGTGTGTGTCTTATATCCAAAGACGGATCGGTTAGGATATAATTGCGCTTAACAACTTCGACCACTCCGAAACCTAATACTTAACACAAAATGCATTATATAGCGGTGTGTGTCGTTCATGTATTAAAAGATTTGTTCAATCTCAGTCATATTAATTATTTGAAGTTCGTTTATAATCAGTTCAAACATATTTGATCATATATTTATTAAAAACATATGCGTTTTAATATGCATGCATATCTCAACTTGTATGCCGAAAGTGAGACAATAAAAATATCGAATATATCAAAAATCTAAACGAAGGCCAAAGGAAAATCCGCTTCTTTCGAGTCGAATCTTTTATATAGTGGTAAATCGACACGAGTATCGCTTGTGATTGGGGGTACGTAAGGGGTCGGACACATGAAGATTTGACTTATTTTCGGATATACATCCGACTGGGGTGTCCCGAGAGAGGAGTTATGTCTTCGGATGATGTAACCAACTCCGCAGTTAACCAACTCGAAATATATATATTTCAAAATTAAAATATGTTCGAAATGAAATTTTTAACTTCTCGTAGGGTAAGTAATACAAAAGAAATCCAAAATGAAATTTTTATATCTTTACGTTTCAGAAGTTTCTGATTATTTTGGCATCGTCGATTCCTATATTGATAAGGAGGCGTGCTGATTAGTTTTTGGCAAAGGCAGGTGCTGTCGTTTCAAAGATACGGGGCAAAAAGTGCCAAAAACGGTTCACTTTTCGAGACAATGGATTTGATTGATTTAGGGTTTGAAAGGCAGGGTTAGCGGTAATCCAATGAAAAAAGTAACAAAAATGCTATTTAGCGGTCAAAAATGATTACTAGACATATGCACATCAAATTATCAAATAGATATTTTAATAACAAATTTAGTTCGCAATTCTATTAGTTTCCTACCAATGTTTATCCGTTTGCATCGACGCGCGTAACGCTTCGATATTTCTTCTGTATAACAGCCACGCAGCACCATTGCTTTGAAAAATAGTTCCAAATTTTCAAAATATCAAAAATCTAACATTTTTCAAAGTATTTTTAACTTCCCGTAGGGCAAGTTATAATAATCGCAAAAAAATCGAAAATGAAAATGTTTGCATTCCTCGACGTTTCAAAGGTTTCTGAATATTTTGGCATACCTTAGAAAAAATGGATGTATGTGTGTGTGTGTGTGTGTGCGCGTGTGTGTGTGTATGTATGTATGTGCGGATACAAATTTTCGTCGACGATTTCGGGAACACCGATCAACCGATTTGAATAATTCAAAAAACATTCGATTTGTATTGATAAGGAGACGTGCTGATTAGATTTTGGCGAAGTCAGGTCTAGCCGTTCCGAAGATACGAGGCAAAAAGTGCCGAAATATGTATGTACGATTGCTTTGAAAAAAGTTTAGATCTTTCAAAATATGTCTAAATAAAGACATATTAAAAATTATAAATAAAAAATTAAAAAAAATTTATTTTTCAAAAAAAGTAATTTTTTGTCTAATTGTTTGTCAAAAATAATATAAACAAATAAATATTTTCGAAGTAATTTTTTTTCAAAAATGTTAATCGTTTTTAAAAAAATAATAATTTGTGGTACGGGAAGTTCCAGCAATTTGCCTTAAGGCACGATGCCTTAATTGCCTTAAGACAGAATTCCACTTACAGCTAGTTTTATATAAGCTGATCAATATCAGCGTTTTCTTTTTAGATTTTGTTCTTTATTTTAATTTTTAACTTCCCGTAGGGCAAGTTATAGTAATCGCAAAAAAAATCGAAAATGAAAATTTTTATATATCTTTACGTTTCAAAGGTTTCTGAACATTTTGGCATACCTTAGAAAAATGGATGTATGTGTGTGTGTGTATGTGTGTACGTGTGTGTGTATGTATGTACGTGTGTGTATGTATGTGCGGATACAAATTTTCGTCGACGATTTCGGGAACACGGATTAACCGATTTGAATAATTCAAAAAACATTCGATTCGTATTGATAAGGAGACGTTCTGATTAGTTTTTGGCGAAGGCAGGTCTAGCCGTTCCAAAGATACGGGCCAAAAAGTGCCGAAAACGGTAACTCAGTTTTTAAGAGAACGGAGCGTCCGATTTAAATAATTCAAAAAACATTTTACTTGTATTGACAAGATGAAGAATCGATAAAATTTTCATAAAGGTAGGTCTAGCGGTTTCGGAGATATAGAGAAAAAAGTAAAAAAATTAGCCATTTGGCGGTCAAAAATCATCATTAGACATATGCACATCAAATTATCAGATCTCTTATAGAGATTTTAACAATAAGTATACATTTTAATAATATAACAAAAATTATAATATAAGATTTACAGTCAACATGCGTCTGACAGGTGATGCAGTCTGCGCATGCGTCTGTCAGTGATTGCACATCAAACTTAGCCTATAATTCAATTTGACAGATTATTATTTTTTAACTTTAAATGCAGTCGTGTTTTGCCTTACTTTACTAAATCATAATACAAAAATAATTTACTTATTCAAAAATTATTTAAAAGTTTCATTATGTCAAAAATTCATATGTTTGGCATTGGATACGAAATATTTACTCAAGTCAATGGAGCGTTTTGGGTCTGAATATTTTTAATGTGCTCCAATTTGCATGAAATTTTGGAATTAGGTTCATCTTACTATCAAGTTTTAAAGTGAAAATAATTTAGACTCCTTTGCCACTTCCCGGGGATGACATCCCTTTTCAGTGGTGCAATTGTATCTCTTTCAAAATAACGTCGGATATCGATAAACGAACTAATTAGAAGAGAAAAATGTTTAATAATGTTTTTCAAAAAAGCAATTACTTTTCAAGTTACTGGCCACTGAAAATTTGTTTTTTTGCGTTTTTCATCGAATCATATGGTTAGACTCTATTAAATAGTACAGCTCGAAACATGCTCTAGGACGAAAAATGAAATAGTTAACGGATGCGCCGGATATTAAAGGTGCGAAAAAAAATGAAGTGGATATTCATATATGTAATATTCCAATGCTTTAGGTAACCAATAAAATTTAGTTTATTAATATATAGGTTTGTATTTTGTCGTATTTTAACACTTAATATTTTTAGCTCTTGCCGCGCTGGCCGGATCTCAGTTGCGCACCAGCAATAATAGCCGCAATCAGCAAGCCGCTGCTGCTCAGCAATCACACGAAATGACAGTTCCAAATGAACTGATCGGTTGCATCATTGGAAAGGGTGGTACGAAATCGCTGAAATACGACAAATCTCGGGCGCTATGATTCGCATTTCGAATTGCGAAGAACGAGATGGTGGAAATACTGACAGAACCATAACGATATCCTCCGGAAATCCAGACGCCGTTTCTCTTGCACAGTATCTGATTAATATGAGGTTAGTGGAAATTGTGGTTTATTGTAATTATAACCATTTGCCGTTCAGTTCAAATATTGTAAATTTCTACTTATAGTTTATTAAGAGCTCGGCTAAAATGTATAATCGCTGAATGTAAGCCTTTCGTAATCAAAAAAGTAATGTCACAAATAAACTTCTTGCGCGTCATTTTGCGCCTAACATTTTTTCATACATAAATCCTCATTTTAAGTAATAAAACAAGCGATATAAAATAAAACTTAAATTTTCACATGAATCGGTATAATTTCATGTAGATCTTCTAACAAGTTACTCTCACTGTTAGTGTATTGTCACACATGAATATATTTATTAAGTAATTTTTAATCATTAAATATAAATAATTTAAAATCTCGCATTAAGTAAAATAAAATATAACGATGAGATATTCATTGGATTTTATTAGAAGATTTGTTCTAGTTGCTTGACGTTTTCATCATGACAAAATTTCTCATGAGCTTTGCTTTGAGCTTTTTTTATTGAAAATTACTTGACTTTCAATGCGATCACTCATTGTGTTTTCATGTAAGCTCTATTATGAATCATGTTTGTTTTAAGTTTTTTTATATTTTGACCCATTTATATGTACGACATACGACACTCATATA